TTTTTTTTGTTAGTCAAAGGAAGGAATAATGAGAATTTTTGAATGTTGAATGTTTCTAACTTCAAAGCAAAACAAAATACAGATAGCTAAAGAGATGAGAATGATATCACTTATTATGAGATATGGATGGAGGAAAATTCATGAACATCGGGCTCGGCAGGACAATAATGGAATGGGACGGTGGATGGTGTAGGCCATGACAGAGCATTACTCTCTCCTTGCTTGTTAATTTGTCGTCCACTTGAGGAATGTAGACAAAAGAATTGAGAAAATTAAAAGCCATATACCCACCTAGGTAGTATTTGTGATATAGCGATAGCGTGACTCTTTTTGCCATTTTCTGCTCACGTATGTGGAGGCACCTGCCCCAGGCAATGCCCTCCTTGCACCTGTCTATTTTCATTTTTTGGACCTGGTAGGATGGAGATCGAACGCCACCTCGCTGGTGTGGCCTACGCTGAAAGTTTGTTGAGATGTAAAGCAAGCGCATGTGATGATGAGTTGATAGGTAGTCTACTGCTTTCTTTGCAATTATTATCTATAAAATCTTGGATTGATTAAAAGATCTCCCAAAGGCACTTGCGTTTGAGGTCTAATGGCATAGTCACGGTGCATTCTCCTTCCCCGACAGGGTTCAAAACCACCCATAGCCATCGTTTTAAAATTTTTTAAAAAAAAATTAAAAAAAAAAAAAAAAACTAAACCTTAACCATTTGGTAAAATTGAACCCTATTTAAGAAAAACCCTAAATCTATCCTTAATTTTTGCAAGGGGATGAGAGAAATATAAACAAATGATGAAGATTTGGAAGAGAGAGCTTGGATTTGGATGAAGCCGTAACAAAGAAAAACTTGCAAAAAAAATAGAGAAAATGAGTGAAGGAGATGAATATGGTGGATTCTTTTTAATATTTATTAAAATATATACTGAGGTGGCACGCCACCTCATTTTCGTCCCTTGAAATGTTCCTTCTTTTCATCTTTCTCATCATTATTCATAATATATAATATGAGCCTGCAATGCTGAATGTGACACATAACTGATTTTTCAGGCTCTATCTTGCCATGAGCTCGTGTTATGAATGCCAGAA